CTTATAGCTACTCTCTCACAAGGAAAAGATGATGCCGTCATGCATAAAAAATGTTTTACCAGGGGTGTCAAACTCCAGTCCTCGAGGGCCGCTATCCTGCATGTTTTAGAGGTTTTCTTGCTCCAACACACCTGATTTTGATCGCTGGGTGATTAACAGGCTTCTGCCCAATTTGAAGAGTTAATTCAATCACTGAATCTGGTGTGTTGGAGCTGGAAAACCTCTAAAACATGCAGGATAGCGGCCCTCGAGGACTGGAGTTTGACACCCCTGAAAGAGAAGATGTTTTACATTAAACCGGGTCAGCTCTTATAAACCAGGAAGTGGATGTCGACTTCCTAAAGGTCAGAGTGTTTCTTCTGAATGGCTGCAGCTTCTGCCTCTGATCGAGTCCCAGTTAAATCCAAACGACTCCGACATGAAACGACACTTGTTCACGACTCTGCCTGTCATCAGACCAGCTGTGATAAAAAGGCAGATGCTGCTGCAGAAACGCACGTATCAAAGTCATTATTTAGAGGTAAGGTCGGATCATTTAAGGTCAGCCGAGCGTTTTAAGATCAAAGAATACWAGTAGCTTTACAGAGGCCTTTTCCTCGTGCTTTTTTTTTTAGTAATAATGCATCTGTTGTGAAGTTGTCAGTGTTCCCATTTGATCTGATTAGTGTGTTGGCAACACTGATCAAAGAACAAGCCTCATTTGCACACTATCACTTCAGCTTTGAACTGAAGACGCAGAGAGTAAAATAATTTGGCAGACAGGGACGAGGCACGGCTCCTGGATCTGACACAGGCTTTTATTAGCATATTAAAGTCGACACAGACGGGGTAGAAAACCCACGAGCAAATTGCTCATCAACTTGTGATTTTATAGACTTGTGGTCTGAAGAAATGTACAAGGAATAAAAAATGTTAAAGAGCTGCTCTCCTGCTGCTCCATCGGCGCTGCTCTTTTTATTTATTTTTCCCACCAACACTCACCTGCCTTGTTTCCTGTCAAGTCTTTAAGTGCAAACGGTGGCAACGCTCTGAACGATTAATGCATCAGCAGTGGATTAAACGAGAGACCTGGTCCAGCTCACGGCTCAGGCTGACAGCTTTGTTTTAGAACAAGACACTTCGCTGAACTTTTTGATGTTTTCTTGAAGCCGCGCCAGGGTTATACCTATAAAAGTAAAGATGCAACGCTTGCAGTTTGGATGCTGTAAATGCATCATCTGATCCCTCAAGCATCATAAACAAGAACTTCATAAAGTCTTTCTTGATCAGTATCAGCACGGATCAGGTGGAACATTTACTTTCTGAAGATTGTAGCCACAAAATCACTTTGTCTCTTTAAAATGCACCTCAGTTTAAGGTCTGTCAAAATATCATTTTTGTGAAAACACTGAATATACTTATATGTTAATGTTGATTTTTATATTTTTTATAATATAAAGGGGTGGATGAGATTCGCCTGGAGTTCCTTAAGGTTCTGGATGTTGTGGGGTTGCATTGGTTGACGCGACTCTACAACATTGCGTCGACATCGGGGGCAGTTCCTCTGGATTGGCAGGCCGGGTGGTGGTCCCCCTATTTAAAAAGGGGGACCACAGAGTGTGTTCCAACTATAGGGGGATCACACTTCTGAGCCTCCTTGGTAAGGTCTATTCAGGGGTCCTGGAGAGGAGGGTCCGTCAGATATTCAGGAAGAGCAATGTGGTTTTGGTCCTGGTCGTGGAACAGCAAACCAGCTCTACACCCGTAGCAGGGTCCTGGAGGGTACATGGGAGTTCAACCAGTCTACATGTGTTTTGTGGACTTGGAGAAGGTGTTTGACCGTGTCCCTCTGGGACTCCTGTGGGGGGGGGTACTCCGGGAGTATGAGGTACCAGGCCCATTGATACGGGCTGTTAGGTCCCTGTAGGACCGGTGCCAGAGCTTGGTCCGTATTGCTGGTAGTAAGTCGGACTCGTTTCTGGTGAGAGTTGGACTTCACCAAGGCTGCCCTTTGTCACCGATTCTGTTCATAACTTTTATGGACAGAATTTCTAGGAGCAGCCGAGGTGTTGAGGGGATCCTTTTTGGTGGCCTTAGGATCACATCTCTGCTTTTTGCGGATGATGTGGTCCTGTTGGCTTCATCAGATCCTGATCTCCAGCTCTCACTGGAGCGGTTCGCAGCCGAGTGTGAGGCGGCCGGGATGAGGATCAGTGCCTCCAAATCCGAGACCAAGGTCTTGAGCCGGAAACCGGTAGGGTGCCACCTCCGGGTCGGAGAGGAGGTCCTGCCCCAAGTGGAGGAGTTCAAGTATCTCGGGGTTTTGTTCACGAATGAGGGAAGAATGGAGCGGGAGATCAACAAGTGGATTGGTGCTGCTTCTGTACTGATGCGGGCGCTGTACCAGTCTGTCATGGTGAAGCGAGAGCTGAGCCAGAAGGCGAAGCTCTCAATTTACCAGTTGGTCTACGTTCCTACCCTCTTCTATGGTCACAAACTTTGGGTAGTGACTGAAAGAACGAGATCACAGATACAAGCAGCCGAAATGAGTTTCCTCTGCAGGGTGTCTGGGCTCTCCCTTAGAGATAGGATGAGAAGCTCAGTCATCCAGGAGGGACTCAGAGTAGAGCCGCTGCTCCTCCACATCGAGAGGAGCCAGTTGAGGTSGTTCATCTGGTTAGGATGCCTCCTGGACTCCTCCCTGGTGAGGTTTTCTGGCCACGTCCCACTGGGAGGAGGCCCAGAGGAAGATCCAGGACACGCTGGAGGGACTATGTTTCTCAGCTGGCCTGGGGGCACCTTAGGATTCCCCTGGATGAGCTGGCCCAAGTGGCTGGAGAGAGGGAAGTCTGAGTCTCTGCTTAGGCTGCTGCCCCCGCGACCTGACCCCGGATAAGATGAAGAAAACCGATGGACGGATAAAAGATAAAGACATTTAATTATAACAAAGTTATGATGATAACTGTGATAATTGTGATGGTGACAAAAACACATTCAATGAAATTACATTTGTGATTCTCTGTTTGGTCCCATTTTTAACCATTGAATAACAAAACAACCACATTTTTTAATTACATTAGTCCTTTTTAATCATTTAAAAACAACATTTGGAATATGTTTTTTTTTTTTTATTGCTGAACGTGTAATTTGTGATTTTTAGTGTGATCGCTGTGAAAAACCTCACTAAACTGCTTCTATCTTTTGTCCACATTTTGCTTTGAATAAAACAAATTTTCCACAAATGTCTTCGCCAAATGGTCAGGAAGAAGGTTCTGATTAGGAAACCATTCCGAGTCGACTTTTCTGCAGGTGGTTCTCAGACCACCACAGCTGTACTTCCTTCATTTATCACTAATCAAGCAGAAATGTGAAACCTATTACTCCCTGTGATATTAAACCTGTTCATGTAGGTGGAAGCAATCAGTAAGAGAACAACAACAGACTTTGGTTAGATGTTTCTCTCATTATAAGTTTATTACAGCTGATACTCTTCTTCCTTTCAAGTCATTCCTTTTTTAAATCTTTTTCAGCTGGTGTTGCTGGCTGCACCAACGCTGCTTTTATTTTATGTATTTTTTTCTATCACGGTCAATTTGTTGATTATTAGTATCAAATCACACACCACCCAGACTTCTTCAATTGTTATATTTTTACAGGCACTGGTCTGAAATAATGTTTTTTTTTTTTTCTGCCCTTCTGTAGTGACAGCATGCCAAAGCGGATGGCCCTGATCTGCTTCCTGTCTCTGGTCATGCTGATGAGCATCCTGGGAAACCTGCTGGTCATGGTGGCCGTCTGCAAAGACAGACAACTCAGGTGGGCTTTTCGTTAAGTTCTGCAGAAACTGGAGCCGACATTGGTTTGAGCCGATTACCTGGAGCCACAATCCTGCTGAACTTTCCGTACAATTTCCTGGAAAGTCTGAAGCACTTTGCAGCAGCTAATTTAAAGCACTTTTACATCCTGAAACATCTTTTTAGTTGTTTCAAAACATTTCCCTCACATCTTCTTCCACACAAAAGCACAAAAAAATACCCAAAATGGCTGAAATTATACAGAACATGCATAGTGTTAGCATGTACAGTATAACTGCCACACTTACGCAAAGCATTAACTCACCAGAACAGATTGATTGTTTTGGGTGGGGGTTGCTAATTGGTGGGCCTGATAGACAGCCCTTCATCAGAGCTAAATGACAAAAAATAAATAAAAATCTGAAGCTCATGTTGAAGAGTTTTAGTCATAAGCATTTTTGTATGTCTATACTTCCATTTTTCGAATGGGGTGAGAGTCTGAAGCTCTGAATAGTTTTTAAGTCAAGCATTTTTGTATGGAGATGCCCCCATTTCAGATGGAGCCCCCTCCTCAAATATAGGGTCTGTTGTAAAACCAATGCAGTGTAGGTTGGACACATCTACTTTCCTAACAAATTTCATGTTGCCAAGTGCATAATACAATTTTATTGTTTTGGGTGGAGGTCTGTGGTGGGGTGAATGGGGGTGCTCATTCGTGGGCCTGATGGATAGCCCTTCATCAGAGCTAAACAACAAAATATCTGAAGCTCCTATGTTGAATAGTTTTTGAGTTCTAAGCAATTTTGCATGTCCAGACACCCCTTTTTACATGGTGGGAGGGTCTGGGG